AGTTGGATGATTGGGCGTGTTTACCTTCCCACCCTCCCCGACATCCTCAACCCATCGTGGCCCTGCTCGGCGATCGGTGGGGGGGGGGGGGTGCATGGGTGGGGTGCATTCCGATGCACGACAGACAAATAATCCCTGGTGGGCAGTGTGGAACCTGTTGTTCCTACCTGTAAAACGTTGAGTTTTATAAGGGCACCAACGGGGTGACCAGCCCCTCCTCACCCAGCCCCACCCCTCCCACCCCCACCCAGCCCCACCCTCCCCACCCTCCCCACCCAGCCCCTCCCCACCCTCCCCACACAGCCCCTCCCCACCCCACCACTGGCCCCTCCCCACCCTACCCTCCCAACCAAGCCCCTCTCTCTCCACCCAGCCCCACCCACCCCTCCCATATTTGAAATGCACGGACAATAATCCCCCGTGGGCTGGTGTAACCAGGTTACTACCAGTATAAAGAATACCGGATGGATACCGATCCTGCTGTGGCCGCGCCAGTGAACTCTTGAGTTTCACCACCTCGTAACAGAAGGAAGAGGGGCTTTGCCAACCCTCTTGGTTGCATGCTTAGGGGCCATGATTAAAGGAAAAATGTATGCAAATAAACAACGGAAGACTTGATTTAAAGCTTTTGTAACTGCAGGAATTACTCTTGGCTTTTTCGGTAAAGTCACATAGAAAGAAAATACATTTAATAGAATACGACGTTTCGATTGCAACACAAGCAGTCGTCATCAGGTATAACTCAATTTGAGAGAGAGACAAAACACAGACACGGAGACACACAGAGACCCACTACCTCGGTGTCGTGGCCTTGGAGAGAGCGAGGGGGTCAGAGAGAGAGCTGGGTCTGCTGGAGCAGAGAAATTAGCATGTCAATGAGCGATTTGTGTAGAAATACACCCGGCGGAAGCAGGGGGAGAGAAAGACCCAGCATTGCATTACATTTACACAATTCTTTTTTCTCTCAAACTGCCTATTTCTCTTCTTGGTTCTTTCGGTAAAGTCACGTAGAAGGGAAGTAATAAAATAATAAAAATAAAACAATAAAATATTTTATTATGTGACTTAATAACATTTTATTATGTTTTATTATTTTATTATTTTATTACTTCCCTTCTACGTGACTTTACCGAAAGAACCAAGAAGATGAATCCCTGCAGTCACGAAAGCTTTAAATCGAAATGTCTATTTCTCTTTCAAATTTACCAGGCTTTCATAGGTCCATTCGCTATTTCTCTCCCCCTGCCGCCGCGGGGTGGATTTCCACACAGCTCTCTCATTGACATGGTAATTTCTCTGCTCCAGCAGACCCACCTCTCTCTCTGCCCCCCCCCCCTTCTCTCTTTTTAAAGCTAAGACAGAGGCATTGGGTCTCTGTGTCTCTCTGTGTGTGTCTCTCTCTCTCTGCCTGTGTGTCTCCGTGTCTGTGTCTTGTCTCTCTCAAATTTAGTTCTACCTGATGACTGCTTGTGTTGCAATCGAAACAGCGTATTCTATTTAATTTTTTTTTTCTACGTGACTTTACCGAAAAAACCGAAGAGAAACAATGGAAGGTTAAACGCAGAATTATGCGTAGCAATAGGCAACGTCCACACACTACAACAGTCACTATGCGGAAGGGAGTGGTGGTGGGATGAGATGATGCACGGAGGGGACACATGTGGGTGATTTGAAATAAAGATTGCTGGTCCCCGTACTAAGCCGCAGATACACAAAACCACATACCGCAGTTAGCAAATCGGTATGCTGAAGGGAAACTGTGGATACATAAATACCGTGGATGCAAAAAACGCGGTTGGTGGGGGATTTTGTATTTGGCATTTCGACAGCTATATTCACACCATACCGTGTTAGAGGTGATATCAGATCTACAGTTCACCGTTTCTGAACGCACTTGCACCTTTGATAAACGCAAAACGTTTGTGGGGCATATACATTCAAAAAATATTTTTTTACATTATCAGAGCTGGAATAAGCCAAATTAAGCAGAACCACATTTAATATTCAGTAATTGTTGACCAGCCTCAAACCATAAACTTGCAACAATTGAAACCCTATTTTAATCATAGATGGCTGCCTGTACTGGATTCTGACGGAGGGTTTAGCTACCCAGACACCTGAATAGATGTTCTTGGTGTGGTCGAAAAGGGAAGTACACACCCTGCATTCTGAACAACGCATCTCTAAATAATTCATGCTGCCCTTTAGAAGGCAGTGCAATACTAATTAACCCAGCATTTCGGCCCTTAGGAGGCAAACGTTCCTTATCCTTCTTCACTTTGCCCTTTAAAAGTTAAGCATCTTACCTTGGAGCATAGCCTGTCTAGAAAAATATTCTAATATCACTAAATTGTGCAAATTTGGTTAAACACAAGCAGGTGTGAATAACATACATTATTTTCCGCCACAAAAATATGAAATCTAAATAATTAAATAAGGCTTGTCATATTTTAAAGCAAAAATAAAGTAGTCACATTTTCCATGATATTGGATTACTTCAACATTTCACAATTTTTTTTTTCATTTAACTTTTTCATATTGCAGAACTGTATGTAGGCATTATGGCTCGGCCTGCATTCGGCGTTGCGTCGGTTGCAAGGAAAGGGTTGCCTGGCAGTGTATCGTGAGGACCACTATGCCCGGTCGAGGCCTGGAAACGAATTGATTGCATTGAAACAAAATTTATTAACTATTTTTTGTCAGAAATTCCTGAGTGTAATAAACTGGGGCTTAGTTTTAACAAATGTGCTTTAACAACCGAACTGGCCTCAGTCATTTCCAGAATGTGTGGCTGAATCAAAGTATTACAGTACCCCACATTTTAACAGTAAGAACACATTCCATAAAATGGTTTGTAGTTTTTACACAATGAGACCTACTCACACATTGGTAAATGTTTTTATAAAGTTACAATTATATTCCATACTTGTAAGCACAATTTATTTTAGCCTTTGTCGATATTCATATTTTACGGCAATGAAAACATGTTTTCAATTTGCTAAAATGTCATTGCAGTCAACACGCACAATTACATTTCACTGCAGTATTTTCTTGAGATTATGAGCATGCCAGCTTGAATGCAAATTGCTATTTTATTGGCTTACAGCATATATCCACCTCAATAATATACTTGAGGTCTCTATCTGGGTTAATGTTTGCTTTCATGGTTATCTATATATATAAAATCGTGAATGTCTGTCTGTCCGTCTGTGTGTGTGTGTGTGTGGATTTCGGACCATACGCACTTTCATTGGACGCCGGTTGCCCCTGGCAACGGCTAGCGACGCCTTCGCCGCTTTCATTGGACCTGGCAACGGCTAGCGACGCCTTCGCCAAGGGCTGCAGTTTCATTGGACGGCGGTTGCCCCTGCCAACGGCTAGCCACGCCTTCGCCACTTTCATAGGCTCCGTAAATAATTAAATAATAGCCATTACACAGTGTTGTTGGAGCGCTGAGGGGGGGGGTGGAAGGCACGCCACCCGTACCCTGCCTCTGCCGGGTGGACAATTTTGGCGAGGCCGCAGGCTCTGCACGCTACTAGGCCTCGACACCCACCACGCCACTCTGAGGTAAATTCATCAAAGTTTTTCCTACTCTTCACTCCACCCCCACCACAATGTGTGCAATTAATATTACTTTTAAACCCAACGCGCCAAACATCGATTACTTAAATGTTCACTGTACAAATAGTCATTAAGCTGGGTCAGCGTACTGCCAGTCTATCATGTAGACTGTAGCCTGCTTATTAAGCTCGGTGAGCGTACTGCCACTCTATCATGTACACTCTAGCCTGCTTATGAAGCTGACTGCGTGTACTGGCAGTCTATAATGTGGACTGTAGCCTGGTTATTATAATCGATTCTTTATATGTTCTTTGTACAAATAGTCATTAAGCTGGTTTAGCGACCCCAGTTCGATTCCAACTCACGCCCACCACCGCTGACGATTATTTGAAACGGACCTGGCCCTCCCCTAGGTCCACTCAGCCTCAAACGCGTAACTGCTGTCGTGTGTGAACATCGTCACTGGGGAAACAAAGGCGGCCGGGCATCGTGGATCCAAGTCCCGGGCGAAGCCGGGTCTTTTGTGTATGTGTGTATGTGTTTATGTGTATCTCTGTGTGTCTGTATGTATGTGTGTATGTATGTGTGTGTGTATGTATGTGGGTTTTTTTCTATGTCTTTATGTGTATGTCTGCGTGTCTGTATGTATGTGTGTATGTACGTGTGTGCATGTGCTTGGGTGTATGTATGTGTGTGTCTATGTATGTGTGTGTATGTGTTTCTGTGTATGTATGTGTGTGTATGTATGTGTGTTATGTGTCTGTCTGTGTGTCTGCATGTATGTGTGTGTGTATTGTGTATGTGTTTGTATGAGTTTGTGTCTTTACGCTCGCATTACACAAATGTTTTGCAGGTCTAAGGCGTTCCTTGCGCAGCATTGCCGCTTTATTATTTCAGTCGTTTACTGCCGTATGCACCCTGACAGTCGTGTGTGTCTGCAGCAAGCGCGTGTATGTGTACCTATGGACGCGCGCGCGTGTGTTGTGTAGGGGGAACGGTAGTGTAGTGCTTAGCGTGCTGCCTGTGTCTGTGTGTGTGTGTCTGTGTGTGTGTGTCTGTATGTGTGTCTGTGTGTGTGTCTGTGTGTGTGGTGTGTGGGGAGCGGTAGTGTAGTGGTTAGCGTGCTGTCTGTGTGTGTGTCTCTGTCTGTGTGTGTCTGCGTGTGTCTGTGTGTGTGTCTGTGCGTGTGTGGTGTGTGAGGAGCGGTGGGTGTAGTGCTTAACGCTACGCTGCGCTACCAACCCGGCGAACCCAGTTCCATTCCCGCTCACGGCCACCACCGGTGACGATTATTTGAACCTCCCCTAGGTCGACTCTGCCTCAAACGAGTAACTGCTGTAGCGTATTAACATCGCCACTGGGGAGACAAAGGCGGCCGGCCGTGGTAGATACAAGTCCCGGGCGAAGCCGGGTAGTACAGCTAGTATTGAGATATAGTGTGAGAATGACATCTAATTTAATTTTGGTTATATATGCAGTTTGGCATTGAATATATACAAAAAAACTTGGAAAAGGGCTAATGTTTATGTGGCATAAACATCGAGAAAATGTTACGTTAAAAGTTTGTAAATTGTCAGGATAAAACGTCATTAAACCTCAATTGATTTTACATATTGGTCATATGATTTACAAGCTGTTATGTAGCTCAACTTAAATGTTTTATTCTATTTTGACATTTAATATTTACTGAGCTTACGACATTGTTTAAAATCCTAGATGGTTGACTGTACAACAATGTCTCGGACATCTACGTTAGTGTGCTGTAAAATAAATCATTAAATGTGACAAAGATTTAATAGAAAAATATTCCAATTTCAAGAAAAGTGTTTTATACTCTTTAGCAATTTATAATGTGTGTGTAATATTGCTGCTTCAGCATCTGCAGTAAAAACACATTTTTATTTTAAAATATTTCTCAAGAGGCTTACTCTAAGAACCCCTGGTCAAATATTTTCTCATTCTGTTCAGCAATATATGAAAACCATGTTAGAGACATACAAAAACGAGCATACACAACTTATATATATATATATATAGTATGTTACATTATTCACACACAGAAAGATTTTCTGATTTTTTTATTTTCATATTTTATTTTTGTCTTTTAAAATTTAAAATAAAGTAACAATAAATTAGATTTGAGCCCATGACCTCTGCGGATACAAGTCCTGAATTAATCTCGCACACCACAAGGTCTTAAGATGCTGTATCAGTGTCAAAGCTATCCTGTGCAGAAAATTAAAAATCCATCACCACATGCACACACATGAAGGCATACAGATCAAACAAACACACCTTTGTTTTCATAAATGAACATGTCCGAGAAAACACCTGCCTCCTCCACTCATACTCTCACACGCACGCTTAAAAAGAATCACACTTTAATTTTGGTGCCAATGCACATGGTTTAAAATTAAGGTAGCTCAAATTGTATCGCTGTAACTAAAAATCAATAAAATACTTTTAATTGGTACGTTGTTGTGTTACCTTGTTTTTACGCATAAACAATAACACACGAGTCACTGACGCTGTCTCAATGCACTCTATCTTTGCTCATTGGTTAATGAGTGATGAGTGGGAAGGTTCGTGGTAGCTACTCACTGCAGAGGGCTAATATGGACGGACACGGCTGCTGGAGAGTGGAAACGTGACATCAATTGCAATCAACATCGACCGAGGGTGGCATGCCTGCAGCGAATGTCAACCGTTCTCTGAAGTAGATGAAGCAAGTATAACTACGACTTTGGCACAGTACATTTTTCGCAAAAGTGATGGCTAAAGTGTGGCAATTTTTTTTACAAAAAGGTCACTGTTAGGGTGGGGGCACTGAACATCTTAATTTTTTCTGACAAAAATATATTTAAAAAGCATATGTTCATAGTGAAAACTAAATTAAACCGAGTGACATCCCTAGCCTCGACCCATTTCTGTCATACAATGGAAATACAGAGTGGTGTATTGCATCCTTGAAAGGATATAGAGGAAAGCGCCTGATCTAATGTATTGTATTTCGACAGCTATTTTCAACACGACAGGTGGGCAAGGCCTTTATTTCTGTATCTCGGTAACAGGTGGGGGTTTAATTTCATTTGAGCCAGATTTGCAGACGTTTGCAAAGGTTGATAAAGATTATTCTCCCTCAACAGGCAGTGTTTTCACAAAGGTTTCTTGACATAAAGTCAAGGTCAGCAAGTGAAATATCACGTAAAAGAGTTATTTGACAGAAAAAGAAACACTTCAAAAGAGTGAATTTGTACAGCACTCACCCTGACTCGGCACCTACTCAAATGGAGTTCAGATTTAAAGACTTGTGAGGATGGACATGTGATAGATGGACATGTGACGCGGCTTCCTTTTTCCCATGACTGAAACTATATGTGCAGCGGTGGCACAGTTACAAGCTCACTGATACAAAACCAGCATCCAGAATTTGATTGCTGGCCACGGCTAACATCAGTGGTGAGTGATATCTGAACTGGTACTGCCCCCACTTCAGCCCACAACCAAGATGGTGAAGTATGGTCAAACAACTCTTAATCATGATGCAGTGTGGGCGGGGGGGGGGGGGGGGCTTTGTTCAAGCGGCAAAGCCTCTACAGCTGGGTCATGTCACTGCTTCCCCTTGGGCCATGTTACACCGTGATACCGCTGGTCCATGAATATTGGTCACAGTGTATGGTACTACTGGAGCAAGTGTTGCAGATAAGTTTTGTCCAGTGCCATTATGCGTAATGTATCAAATATTTTCATACACAGCACAACCTTGCAGCTGTGCCATTCTTATGGTGGCCACCTGTTTTTCACTCCTTGTTTTCAAACTTGTGCCGGCCAATAACAATAAACAGATTTCACAAAAATACAGTTTTAGAATTATAAAGCTGGCTACTTTCATAGTTAAAGTAATCCCAGAATTTAAAGTGTGTGCATTTAAAACATATCTATTTTAAACGGTTATTCTGTGCAAAACCCTTGTTTTAACACAGAGCAATATAGACCTCTGTTTCGATTGTTTCTTGCTGCATTGGGTCTTCTTCCCCGAGCCAGAATGGAACCGCATTCCCCTATGTTGGTCAGCAGTTAATAAAGGTTTCAACTGTTCGATCTATCAGTACGACCCAGGCACCTGCTGAGCCACGCAACCATTCATTGGTCCCTTTTTTCTACTCTGCGCACTAAACATACTGCACATCGGCGACTACAATAATTTAGCAGACCCTGCATATAACTGAATATTTTTTGATTGTTTCACAAAAAGAGTAAAAACCACACAATTGAAATCTGAGTAAGAATTTTCAGGATGTGTGAGGCTGCAGTTGCAGGGTTTGTTGGGGGATGTTGGTGGCGATTGATGAACGCCAGTTCTTGAACTCTGAGTGTTGTCGATGTGTGATCATGTGCCATCCAGCAAACAGATGGGCGGAACACAAACACTACGCTTGAATTTAAGGAAAATACAAAAAAGTGTGTTTCATCGTATGTAAAAAGTTACAGCAATTCTCGAAAAATCGAGAACCTCTAACCCAAGCACTCGCAATTCGATGGTCACACGTTTTTTCTCTATACAGTAAAACCTTGGATTGCAAGTAACTTGGTCTGCGAGTGTTTGCAAGACGAGCAACTTTTTTAAAATAAATCTTAATTTGATAAATGAGCGAGGTCTTGCAATACGAGTAGTACGTATACGCTTTGTCTGCCGAGCGTCACGTGATCACAACTGATATAAGAGTGCTTTGATATACGAGTGCTTTGGATTACAAACACGTTTCCGGAACGAATTATGCTCGCAATCCAAGGTTTTAATGCATCTTAAACATTTTTACATGTTTATTTACGTGTGTTCATATCGTTTTATGTTATTCTTTCCCCATCCCTTTCAGCAGTCATGCAGTGACCATAATCGTCCTGGCGACTCCAATAACGTGACAGATGCGGCCGACTCCATGACCAACACATGACTCTAGAATAGTCTTCCAGCAGATAATATCCATTCAAGTATAAAATAACGATTTTTTTCACTTAAAATTTAATTTTGCTTCAGTCCGCTGGCATCATTATGAAACTGAAAATGCAATTCGTCTTCTGTTACTGGTGCTTGATAAATGAGTGCTCAGAGTATACGGGATGGCAAACTGGCGCCCACAGCAGCCATTCACTGAAGTGGGGAAACAACTACACAGGGACCTGCTAAATAATACATGTAAATAAAAATACATATGGATTTCAATCAGCACTTCAAAATAGATCGTTTCTGTACATGCAAGCCTCATTATGAAATACTTTAGGGAGGGAAATACAACAGTGAGCACAGTACATTGCTCAGGGACGGCGTGTCCTTGGTAGTGTTCTTCTGCCACTCAGTTCTCCGACGGCGTCACTGTTTTCTTGAAAAAGGGAGAGAAAAAGAAGCAGCATTCCTCCTCATATTCTTTGCTCCACCTCCCGCTGCTCTCGGGGGACATTGTCAAGACCACAGGGTGAGTCACAAAGTGGAGCATTGTCCCTGGATACATGGGCCGGATCGTTGAGCTGTGTGTTGCAGTGGAGCGCCGCAAACTCCAGCGTTGCTCACCGGCTACAGGTCAGCATCGCCATCAAAGGGCAGTGGCAGGGGCTTCCTCTTGGGCGCTCGCCGCCTGGGTCTCTTTGATCTCCTCCTGAAAACAACAAACTTAATGGTGCTGTCCCGGTCACTCAACTTTTGCTCTCAAACAACATTTAAAGATATGTACACAGGCAGAATCATAATTATTGCCAATCTGAGAATGAAAGTTGTAGGTTTATGGTGATTATCCTTATTCCACAAAAAACACAGTTACAATTACAAACCGTTTTCTTTCTAATTTCCTAGTGAGTTGGAGATTGCATTTTTCCAAAATATGATCTTTTATCTTTAAAAAAATCAAAGCCAATATAGTTTTATGTCACTATCCTTACTATATATGCAAATGTAGGAAATTACTGGATTATTCTGCTAGTTTCTCATTACAAAGACGTCACATTTTTCTTCGTAATTAACTGATTGAATGCTCTTATCATTTAACTCTTGGTGCTCTAACTGTGTGAAAGTCACGTGTAGAAGTATTCGCTAAATTATACATTTAACTCCTAATACATAAATCAAAGCCAATTTTCATCAAAGATAAGGTAACATTCATCAAGATATTTTGAACACCGATGATGATGGTTGAGTATTTAGTGTACAAATAAAACGTGTGAGCAGCGCAGGTAACCTTACCAAAAGAGGTAAGCTGCGAAGAAGAGGAACCCGATGATGAGGAGAGAAGCCACCGCCACTCCGTATACCCATCCCCGCAGCTTGCCATCTGAGGTCACATGTTGTGGCACACAAGCATGCCTAACTTAAAATCTAGATCCTAATTTCTCATGGAATGTAGCTTTAGCTATTGTGATATATTGATTGAATAAAAAATAACAATTGCTTCCAACCATTTGCAAATTCACAGACATCCTCATGTCATGTTGGTTGTGTGATCATACATCGCCACACTTGTTCATACATCACCACACTGGTTAAAGTGCATTGATGAAGAGGGGCCTAGGACCGGTTTTAGTATCACTCGCTACTGACGTTGGCTGTGGCCGAGAATCAAACTCCGGTCACCGGGTTCATAGTACTGTGAATATCCACTGCACCATAGCGCCCCCCATCGCTATTAATTAAATGAAATTAATGACTGTACCCTTGTATTAACATTTCATCTATTCTCCATGGATAAAGCAATTATGACTCACAGTGTAATTTAAATTGAGGCTACTGAATTGAAATGAGAAATTTCCAAAACGATGTCAGTTACTATACAGAATAATTAACCACGGCATGGTATATCCCAGGTCTGACACACAGTAACAGAACATGATGCCTTTATGAGTAGAGGAGTACCGCGAGGGGCGAGAGCGGGAAAGTGTGAGTTTGTGGAAAGGTCGTGCAAGGGCATGCATGATGCAACCTTGCGTAAGACTCTCTGTGAGTGGGAGCAATTGGGGGCAATTGGGGGCAAACAGGTGTGGACGTGGGAACATGGGGTTGGCCCTGTGGAGACGGGAGATGGGGGTGATGATAGACGGCAGCCTAAGTGGGAGCACGTGGGGACTCAGAATGAGTAGGGATATATAAGCAGGAGTGTGCGTGAGCTCTGGGTCGTCGTCGTTGGGAGAGAGAGGAACGAGAGCCTGCGTGGATGACATCCCAGCTGCCGTCGAAGAGGTGCTCGAGCTGTCGCCGGGCGGTGTTGGATGATCCCCCACCCGGGGCAGACGAGCCGTACCAGGGCGTAGATATATGAAGGGATGTCCGCGTAAAGGACAGAGTTCTGACGTGCGCCATAATGGGTGTTAGCGTCAAGTGCAGAGAGTGTAAAGTAGCAGCGAGTGTACAGTGAACAGAGTGTGTATGAGTAAATAAACGGCAAGCAGCCTTGAGAAAGAGTCCTTGTCTCTGGCTGGTTCTACAATCCTCCTTGGTGTCAAGAAGTCTTATTTAACACATGCGTAAGTGGGATGCAGGGACCCACCATCCCCAAATGGCTCCAATGCCCAGCTTCCCACCTCCCAGGCCGGCTCAGGACTGCTGGGCAATGCTGCACCTCCCCCCAAGCCCTGCCCCCATCCCTGCCCTTCTGCCGGGCGCTCTCTGCCCCGTGACACCTGGGTGCAGTGCTCCAGAGAGCCCTGAGGAGTGACCACCTCCTGGTAGCCCTCCTCGCATACACAAACATCACCCTGGACGACCAAGCACAGGAACAGAAATCTGGAATTAGAGAACGAAGGAACATAGTGCAACGAAGGATTTGCACAGTTGTGCTGTATAGGTCTTCAACATATTTTCGGATTGTACTGCATATTGTTCTGGCATTTCTTAGAGATTTTTCAGGAAAGGAACTGAAGTGAAACATCAAACATTATGCCAGACATGTGGTACACCCCAAAAACACATCCAATAGCTAGAGGAACTTTGTGATCTTCCTGCAGTCAACACTATCATCTAGTGTCAGATGTGTGTCTGCTTTTCAACCAATTATATTTTACATTAATATGGTATGTTACATGAATGTTTAAATTATGTTTTGATAATATTGATATTTTGGCATCTGCCGTGGATGTAAAATGTCCACCAATGGATCACAGTCATCAATAGAGATTAATACAGGGAAACACACTGACTTCTGAGTTGTAATAGCAGGTGCTTGTTGGTGAGTAATCATTATGTTTAAGATTAATAACACACCCAAAAGGTTGTATAAAGAGAGCGCAAAACGCGTGTTTCTGACCACAGTGTCAGTTCTCCCACCATGCCTTGCATATTGCATGACCTTCAACTCAAAAGTTAACATTTTGGATGTACCATATTCATTTTGATAACCACACCTTTTTTTGTCTATAAAAACTTTTTGTGTAATATTAGTCTTGTTTCCAGTCTGCCCTCTTCCTGTCATGAGTTACTCATAATTTATAGCATATTTTGGAATTTATACTCTTTGTTTTTTTCGGTAAAGTTACGTAGGTTAAAAAACAAAACAAATAAATTAAATTTCGATTTAAAGCTTTCGTGACTGCAGGGATTCATCTTCTTAGTTCTTTCGGTAAAGTCACGTAAAAGGGAAGTAATAAAATAATAAAAATAAAACATAATAAAATAAAATAATTCTCACGACGTTTCGGCTACAACGCAAGCAGCCGTCTTCAGGTGAAGAATGAGACAATGCCAAGCTAGGAGCTTATATATAAGCTGCGTTGGAGGTGGAGGAAAGAGCGCCTTAACAAAAGAATGTGCATGTGAAGAGGAATTTAGCATATTCATGGGAAATGCGTAGGAGGTGGGCGGGGGGGTTTCAAAGTCATATTATGCCCATGCATTATGCAGGATCAACAGCACCAAGGGGGGGGTGCAGGGATTAGCAGTAACAAAGGAAAGGAATGTTAATGATATGTAGCTGCAGTTACTCAACCACCACGTAGAAAACTAAAGTATAAACTACATAAAAAAACTAAAGTATAAATAGCATAGCACCATCAGTATACTTACTATACTCTACACTAAGCTGAGTTACTAACAGCAAGTAATACATTACAATTCTACGTCGTAAAAATTATATAATATGCTTCCATCTAAACTTTATTCTATTGCATCACACGAGCATATACCGTACTATATACTGCCAACATTAAATTATATACTGTATTTCTGTAAACCAACCTATATCTTATACATTTAATATAACACTATGTATTATTCTACCCACCCTAATGTGTGTCGAAATGGTTTATTACGTCCTTCCAATGATTGCTAAGCCAGAATCCATCTTCTCGGTTAAAATTGTCTCTGTGTTTGTATATGTGGATCGCCTCATGAACGAATCTCTCATGATAGCCAGATGGCTTGCAGAGAACCTCTGTCTTGGAGAAGTCAATATCATGTGAGCCCACTGAGTTGTAACAGTGATCTGCCACGGCTGAGGTGTTTGTCCTACCGTGTTTCAGGTCAGCTTTATGTTCACGGATGCGGTCCGAGACATGTCGTTTGGTTTCCCCAATGTAACTGCTACCACAGAGGCAACTTAGTTTGTAGACGCCAGGGTACTGTATGTCTGGAACCACATCTTTTACAGACGGTACCAGATCACGGATTTTTTTTGTACTGTGTTGAATCGGACCTGGATCTTGTGTTTAATCAGGATTTTGGAGATCTTTTTTGTGACCCCAGCAATGTAGGGTAAGGTGATGGTCTTGAAAGGCTCCTCAACAGGATCCTTCTTGATGGTTGGAGTGATGGCTTTGCGGATTGTGTAGTCGGAGTAACCATTAACCTTAAGAGCTTGGCGTACGTGTTTGAGTTCACTGGCAATGTGTTCATGGTCGGAGATGCATTGGGCTCTATGATATAGAGTCTTGATGAGGGAATTCTTCTGGGATGGATGGTGGTGGGAATCCGGTTTTAGATAAGCATCCGTATGGGTGGCTTTCCTGTAGACAGAGTGGCTCATTGAACCATCAGGTCTCCTTTTGATTAGGACATCCAAAAAGGGTAGCTTGCCATCTTTTTCGACTTCCATGGTGAATCTGATGGCTGGGTGTATGGAGTTGATGTGGTCGAGAAATTGGTCTAGAGCAGCACGGCCATGTGGCCAGATGACAAAAGTGTCGTCTACGTACCTCTTCCATAAGGTCGGGCGTAGAGTGGCAGTCTGGATGGCGTCCGTCTCAAATTTCTCCATGAAGATGTTGGCTACAACCGGAGATAGGGGGGAGCCCATTGGGGTGCCCTCAGTTTGCTTGTAGAAAGTTTCATTCCAGGTGAAGTATGTATTGGTTAAGCAGTGTCTCACCAGGGGGGGTACCCCAGCATTCAGTCCATGATGAACCAAGTCTTCAATGATTGCGATGGTATCAGGTACAGGAACCTTGGTGAATAAGGAAACCACATCAAAACTGACAAGCAGGTCGTCTGGGGACAGGGCAATCCCCTTGATTGTCGATACCAGGTCAGTAGAGTTTAGTACCGCAGAGGTGGTTTTTCCAGTGAAAGGCCGTAGGATTTCAGACAAAAAACGAGCCAATTTATAGGTGGGGGAGTTGATAGTAGAGACAATGGGACGAAGAGGTGTATCTTCTTTATGTATCTTTGGCAAGCCGTATAATCTTGGTGGCCTGGCTGCAGAAGGTTTCAACGAGAACTGTTTGGTCTGATCAAATAATGCGGTTGAATCAGAAATGATTTTGTTGGTTTTAGTGACGAGGCTGTTGGTGGGGTCTCTTTTTATTTTTGTATAGCTGCCATCGTTGAGTAGTTCTTGAATTTTGTTGTTGTATTCTATTTTGTCCATGATGACAGTGGCATTGCCTTTGTCGGCTGAGAGGATGACAATGTCTTCCCTCTTTTTTAATTGAGCTAATTCAAAACGCTCATCTTTGCTGATGTTGCTAGCTGGCATCTTAGCGTTTTTGAGGGTTGCAGAGATTTCAGATCTTGCTACGTCTGCAGCGATGTGACTCAAGCCCTTGAGAGCTACATCTACTCGAGCAATTATATCATTAACTGGTATGTGTCTAGGTGTGACTGCAAAGTTTAGTCCTTTAGCTAAAACGGATTTCAGACCTTCAGAAATAGTACTGTTACTGCGATTAATTACGACTTTGTTAACATCTAGCTTTTCAATGTGTGGGTCCGGTTTCTTGTTTGAGAGGCGGTTGAATTTGGAAATCAAGTTGTCCTTACATTTAGTCGACATAGCGGCAGCTGAAGAGGCAGTCATTTTTTCTACATGTTCCCAATCAGATGTGGACATTGTTGCACTCAAAGATAAGTGTGATTTGTAGAGTGTCTTGTCTAACTGATCTAGTTCGGTGCGCGTAAGTCTGATTTTCTCTGAGATGAGAGCTAAGCTCGTTCTAGACAGAATTCGTTTCGCATTAGAAGAAGTTACAGCAGCAGATGTTAGTGTAAATGCGTTTGGTATTACCTTAGAGTCGCGACATCTCTTCACCTGAAGACGGCTGCTTGCGTTGTAGCCGAAACGTCGTGAGAATTATTTTATTTTATTATGTTTTATTTTTATTATTTTATTACTTCCCTTTTACGTGACTTTACCGAAAGAACTAAGAAAATAAATTAAATCACGATATTTCGGAGGCAACACAAGCTTCCATCTTCAGGTGGAACCGTCACATCAAAATTACTGTATCAAGTGACGGTTCCACCTGCAGACGGAAGCTTGTGTTGCCTCTAAAACGTTATGATTTAATTTATTTGTTTTATTTTTTAACCTAGGTGACTTTACCGAAAAAACCAAAGGGTATGGATCCTTGCAGTCACGAAAACTTCAAGTATAGAATTTTGGAATTGGTTTAATAATTTTGGTTGGCATGTGCAACCAATATGTTGCAGGAGAGGTTTGTAGAATACATGTCTGCCTTTGTCTCTTCGTTGCTTATTGTATCACATCAGGTGCTATGTTTAGCCTAAGGATATCTAGGAATTACATAAAACCGAATTCAGAAGATATCCATGGTCAGAAATCAATGTTGGGTGAAATGAACCATATCACAGATTAGGTACATGACCACTCTAGTAGGGGGATGTCCATATTTACCCACATTATTACGGAAAAAAACAACAACTCAGAAACATTTTAAGTGCAAAAGGTGAACCATCATGTGAAATGCAATTAACATTTCCATGTGAGCACTTTGAATAGCATACGTTCACCTTTGGTCGTATTTGAGCATCAAGTGTGACTGGTATGCATATGTGAGCATATGTGTGTGACTACGTAGTATTTATTTCCATTCTCAAGAGATGGGCACGTGCATATATACATATGATACCAGTGCATTACAATTCCTAATGAGGAAAATTGTTCTAGTAAGCAGATTATACTCTGAAGAGCCATTACAGCAAACAAGCTAAATTAGGTTGTTGCAGTTATGTACAGATTTATATTTAATTGCACACACATATTAAATGTAATGTAACCCATCTGCAAATTTAAATGTAAAAGCATCAATATGAAATGGTTCAAATGAGTATGAGATTGTGTAGCATTGAGCTGTCTGGCAAAGTCGGATAGTCGGCTTAACAGTGACCACTAAAACCCCTCGTAAAAATGGAATAAGCCCATGCTAATTGCCAATGTCTTCATCAATATTTCACAGTGCATAGAGGTACATTTAATAATGCCTATCATGATCCAATAATAGGTTTTGTTTGCAGGAATGTGTGTGTGTGCGTTTGATTATAACAACCTGCATACAGATGGCTTTCATGGAATACGTGGAAATACATACATAACAATACAAATGTTTAATTACGATTTTTTTTCTAAATTGAAAAAATAAATTTGGTTCTGTAGTGTATGAGTAATAAAAAAAGATGAAATAAATCCACGTCTGTTCTTTATCGCCCTAAAATTTACATATTTGATTGGACTGCGCGACTTACATTAACCAGCAGCATTTTATTAAGTAGACTCCGCACAAATTTGGACCTTTTGGTGCTCATCAAACATTATTATTAAGATCTCCTCCCTCAAAAAGAGGGACCCAGTGAGCAGAAATGTTTTTACTCACGTTGAGCTTTTTCAGACGGATTTTGATTGAGGCTATTATTCAACTGTACCAGTTGAACTTTGTAGTTATTCTGCATAAATATTTATTGCATCGTGCAATGGCTTTGTTAAATAAATCACAAAGTGTGTAAACATAAATCAAGTTGGGAGTGATGAGTTCAGGAGTGATTGAATGTGTTTGTATTGCAGTGACCATGTTGGCGACTCGCTAACCTCGGCACAATAAGAGTGTGGCAGGAGGCAGGGTGGTATGCAGGAGTGTACGGCTTTGGGTTGATTGGCGAGGGAACAGCCACCTGCAGACACACGGCCAAATGTTCTTTACAGAGCAGCAAATCCTTACAGAGCAGCAAAGTCTTAAATCGCAGAGAAAAATGTCCAGGAAAGCACACATAGCAGCCCGAGCGAGCGAGTGTTTGGAGATAAAACCTAAAAATTAGAAGGCTGATCTATGTTGCCTGTAAGGCAAATGTATATAACCGATTTATCTTCCACACTCTTAGGTAAAGTCCACTGGTCATACCTTGCCTGAAATAATTTAAATTCACATAGCAGAGGAATTGGATTACTCAAAACATGACGATACAATATAAGCCGAAAATGAAATAACAGTGCATGTCATTATATATTGTAACGGACATAATGTACAGCGTTTCACTGGCTTGCAATTATCATTAACATGTATTTACCCAAGCAAGCCACAGAAGTAGGGAAAATGTTGGTATGTGTTGTCGCAATTGAGCAATTTTTTAAGTTTGCATAAATCGTACCATGATGCCGGCACACATGGCCTACTCGTTTTTGAATAACATCACGTTATTCAAAGCAGACGGTGCATATTTTATGGAGCAAACGACGCACGTATATTTTTCATTATTACACTCGAAGCATTAACCAGGGCAGCCAAGGGGGCTCGAACCGCAAACCTCTATAACAAGCGACAAAACACACACTGCTCGGCCATTTCATATGGCAAGAGGGACAGCGGGCTGTGAGAAGATGGATTTGAGGGGAGGGGGGCAAGGTAGAGATGGGAGTAGCACAACTTGAGGTCCAAACCTGTGACATTGACTCCATCCGACCGCTGACACCAGATGTCCCGTCGGCCCCCTACCCAAGGCCCAACGTGCCACTCATAGCTGTAGCATTTCCCCCCTGTCACATGCGGCACACCAACGCATAGTAATTTACAGCAAGACACAGTATTTTACAAATTATAATGCAGCAAATCACATTCTACAGACGAGGAATAAGAATCGAGCACAAAACTCGAGTACAGTAATAAAGACAAGGTGTTTCATTTAGTTTTGTTGTTGTTTGGGAAGATGTACTAGCTATAGAAAATTTACAACTGAAATATTTGATGTGTGTATTCGAGTATGTTTCAGTTTTATTTTGTATCAAAGTGTGCTGTATAGAAAATCATCAGGACATGTTGATGTGATGTGTGTGTAAATCCTTACATGGATGACTGCACATTTTTACTTGTGTGTGGATGTGCAATGGTGTTTATCTGCACCAATGTAGAATATTTACTCGCATATATATTTAAAACTGTGAATAAATGATGCACATTTATGCTTGGATATGCTTGTGCAATGGTATATGCATGTTTGTTTCTTTATACCCCATGTAGAATAGTTATCCAATTTACATTGAAGTAAATATAAAATATAGCTCACTGGTTGTCATGTCACAGTAGATTGTATCCTTTTATTTATTATACAGCACTGCTATATGGAGACAAGCCATAGCAATGGGTTGTGTTGTTTCGTGAACAATGAAGTTCGTTCAATTATAACATCCTGGGGACATTTTTAACAATGCAAGTGCATGCATGTTTGTATCAGCAGGGGCACGAATTTCATATGAGTATACATGGGAGATGTTGCATACAATTGCGCACTTGTAATAATCCAGGTATACGTAGATATACCCACATGCGTGCATGCACACGACTGTGTTTATTATCAGGTGAAAGTTTAGAGATATAATTGTCTTTTACAAGGGATGTCTCCAGTCAATTATGAAAAACAAAAATAAACTGCATGATAACTCAGTAAAAGGTATAAAGGTAAAGGTGCAACCTTGAAATTGCTTTTTCAAGCCACTGCTGATGGAAGGGTCTCTAAACAAAGATAAAAAATCCCCCATATAGCTTTAACAGACTGTTGGGGCAAGTGCTGTTACCGAGTAACTGGCACGGCTATTTCGCTATGAAGGCCGTCACGGCACACGAGGTGGTGGTGGCCAGCACCACCCCTAGCTGCCGTTGTCTCCCAAGTGGCAACGCTTACACATAACAAGAGGTACTTATTTGAGGCTGAATTGACCTATGGGAGGCCTAGGACCGGTTCAGTTAATCGTCACCAATGTGGGCCATGAATGGGAATTGAACTTGGGTGGTCGGGTTCGTAGTGCAGCACGTTAACTGCAACACTACCGCTCCCCTTAGTCTCCACACTCATTACCCCACCACACGCGACCTGCTGATTGACTGTGGGTCTATTTTTACTGTTGGGTGAACAGAAACGTGGGGGATTTAAAAAACTTGCACCATTGTTTCACCTGCCATGCCAGAAGATTTAACAAGACACTCTGGATTGTCCAATGTGCTAACCATTACACTACGGGATCATCCTAATGTGTAATAATCCAGGACACTAACAACAACAGCGATATGTGAACAAAGCCAAATGGGTAATCGAAAAGGCAGCTTTTACTTTTTTCGGTGAACATGTGTGTGTCTGTGTGTGTGGGACTGTGTGCGCTGCACAATCCCCACCAGAGCACTCGCGAGCCTCCCACTGCTGGAGAGGGCAGCTGCCGAGCATGCCGTGTTGTGGGAGTTCTACATGCTGGGAGCGGGTTTGCACGCCCGGCCCTCTCGGTCCAGCCACAGGAACACCGTGCCTGCAGCTTAACAACTGGCAGACGCCCCATGTGGACCATGTGCCCAGCTGGCAGTCACCTGCACGACAGACCGCTGAGGAGATTAAACCTCTTGAAGGTGCTCTGCATGGGGCGGAGAGAGGAAACCATACTGGACAGGATGTCAAACACAAAACGTCAGATGAAATGGAAGCTATCTCTGTTGCAAGACGCAGTGATGGACACAGTCAAGTGCAAACATCACTTTAAGAAGATATCAATGAAGGAAACGGTCTTGTCCCAATGGCGCAAAAGGCAAAAGGATTATAAGCATAAGAAGAAGAGAACACAGTACTTCAGATAGAAGGGTGCTGCGGTGGCAAGATTTTAACTACCTCGCCTGGCATACAGGAGGTCGTGGATTCGATCCAACCCTGATGCCTGTATATAGTATTTGGAGTCTGCATGTTCTTCCTGTGGTCCTGTGGATTTTTCTCCGAGTCCTCCGTTTTTTTTTCTCCACATTTAGAATCATGCGTTTAGAATATTTGGCTCCTATACATTTTCACAAGATAAGCCACTTTATTGAGCGATAATTTGTGGCCAGGTCGCTTCTGAAAAAGAGGTTCATAGCTCAGTTGCCCTTACCTGGTAAAATACGTTATTATATGCAATGTAAAAAAGTGTAATGTTCCGAAATTATGCTAATTTAAATAATTACGCAAATAATGCATTTGTAAGGCTTGAGCATAGCGCGCCACACACCCCCCGCCTCTGTTGCTATGCAAGCAAGCACAGTACAGTGAGGTGATGTGAGGTAATGGTTGTTGTGGCTTTAGGCGAAGTGGGTCGTTAAGGGTTGAAACAGGTGTCAGGGTAGCCGGGAGGACACAGGCCAGTGATTGGCTGGAAAGGTAAGTGGGCATTAGCTGGCGTCGCTCTGGCGGCGAAAACAAGGCCACGTGACACGGGGGGGGCAGGGGGCGAGCAATAAGCGGGGGGGTAGAGATAATTAGGGCAGATTAATTGGTGTGGGGATATAAGCCAGAGCACAACGGAGAGATGCAAGTCCTGTACGAGTCGGCGTCGTGGATGGAGCTGCAGCAACGGTGCCCAGGGAGTCGCAGAGCAAGTGATAGTAGAGTAAAGCGTAGAGAGACAGTGTTAGTAGAGTAAAGCATGGAGAGACAGTGGTAGCGAGAACACAAAGGATGCAGAGTAGGAGAAACCGTAGAGATGACAAGCGTAGCGAGGTAGAGAGACGCGGAGCGACGCGGAGCAGAGTGAGGGCACGGAGAGACGCGGAGCGGTGGCGCAGCAGAGCGACGCGGAGCGGAGCGAGGCCGCGCCGAGACGCGGAGCGGTGGCGCGGCGAAGGTGGACTCTAAGAGGAAAATAAAGAGGAGAGAAAGACAACCCTTGTACGAGTCCTACACATTTATGCTAATTAGGCTCTGCTTCGTTATCTAGGGGTATTACCAATCATAATAATACAATGAAGGTGTAATTGCATGAAGTTATGCAAGTGTATGGGATTATGCTAATTAGGCTCGGCTTCGTTGTCTAGGGTGTATTTCCAATTGTGATAATGCATTGATTCTCGCTTAAACTTTTACTGATTATGTTTTAGTGCTTTTATGTCAGGTCTCAAAATTCAGATCTCACCACAGGAAACAGTTCTCATAATTAAGATTATTATGCATCAATTTAGGAAGGCACCACTCAGACTCTTCTGTGTTAAACAACTTTAATATCTAAAAACACTCTAACATGCGAATACTTATGCTCGGAATTGTCAACACAATACTCCTCGAGATGTCCTACTCATTGATCCATACAAATAACCTTCAATGGTTACGTTTGTTAAACTGAGCATAAAACAATTGGCTAATCTCTCAGAGTCGAGCGAGCATACACGGTGATAGGAATAGTTCCTTTAAAAAATGAATGTGACAATATTCATACGAACAGTCATAAAGAATCATGTACCCGAGGTAAAAGTATACCTCAATTAATTAATTGCTAAGAATATACAATTAACGAAAACGAATGACTAAAATACTTCTAAACGACCGTATTCATATAACTCAATGGGCAGCAATGCTTTTCACAATCAGCTAATATTTAACGCAGCACCTTGGAATGGCAACCCTTTTCGAAACACGAAGAAAACTTTTTCGAACAATTGTATGTCCCGATATGCATGCTACGTGTGTGTCTTCTTTGCCACTTGTTGAATTAGTGGTTTACGTGATACAGCGTTCCTTGTACTGAACATACCTCAGGTTCCCAGTAGGGTCGCTGGGCTGGCGTGTGTGTGTGTATTGAACACATGGTGCTCTTGCCTGAGCCGACACGCTTCCTCTTGGCTGCACTGGTTCCACTGCTCCGTGCTCTTTACCCTGGCGTGCAGCTGCCAGCTTCGCACAGGCACCCAGTGGTGCCTCTCCCGCTCTTCCTTCAGGCTGCGCGAATTCTCTCCATGCTCTCTCCGAGCTCTATCTGTGCTCTCTCCCTTAGAGTGCATTTGCCAGCTTCGTGCAAGCACCCGGTGGTGCCTCTCCCGCCCTTCCTTCAGGCTGCGCAAGCTCTCTCTGTGATCTTTCCATGCTCTCACCCTTGGCGTGCAGCTTCCAGCTTCATGCGGGCACCCGGTGGTGCCTCTCCTGCCCTTCTTTCAGGGCTGCACTGGTTCAGGCTCTTTCCACTGCTCTGTTCTCTCTCCTTTGGCGGGCAGCTGCCAGCTTCGCGGGGGCACCCGGTGGTGCCTATTCCGCGCCTTCCTTCAGGCTGCACCAGTTCTCTCCCCGATGCTCGCTTGGTCGATGCTTGGCGCTTTCCACCCTTTCTACAGGTTGATTGCTCGTCGTTGCTCGTCACTCTCTTTCTCTCTCTTTCTCTCTTGCTGCAAATGCTGGTGGGAGCTGGCACTCAATGTAGAATACAACTTTTAGCCATACTTCGTCTGTCAGCGCCAAACTCACACTCGGCGACACACCACTTCTCTGCAAGCCCCATCATCCATGGTCAATTGCGGGGCCCTCCCCCGGAGCTTGCCGCAGCAAGACTCAATTTCCGTTGATCCTTGTAGACTTGACCTTTGCTGGTGTGCAGCGCTGTTTATCAACTTTGGTGCTCTCCGCCCTTCTTCCAAGAGGGCTCCTGCTGTGAGCTACTTGTCGCTGGCTGGATCACTCACTCTCAAAACTTGTAAATTGTATTAGCACACCTCTTAGCTTCTCACAACTCTTATAGCTTAGCATAATACAACTTATCGCAGTCCTCGACTCAGCAAGCGACTCAAAACATAAGGGTAGATATAGAACAAAACTTTCAGCGATACTCTGTCGGTCCATGCTGAACTCAGCTCTTAACAATACATCGTCCCTTTTCTCTGCGAGACACGACATCCATGGTTGATCTCGAGGCCATGCCTCGGAGCCCACCCCTCGCAATACTGATTTGCGTGTTATGTGTTCTTGCTTCAAAATTCTCCCACCTCGGCTTGCCTTCTCACAAAGGACCGGGATTCCTTTGATTTCGCTCTCAGCCTGTGGGAACAGCTGTTTGGCTGGTGTACGTGTGTGTGTCTGTTCTAATTTATTGAAGTAATCTGTTAAGTCGCATCAAGGCCTGGTTCCTGTCCTCTTCCTCAAGCTATCTCGTCATCCGTGGAAACAGATGCTTACAATTGCCCTGAAGTGTGTTTTTCTAGTTTTTCAACTTTCTGCAATAGTTAATCTGGAAGGAGTGGGGGTTCATTTTGTCTGGCTGCGTTCTTTCCCTCTACCCTCACGGTTAGGGGGGTAAAATTGTATTGTTGTCTCTCACAAAGAGGGGCGCTGTGGCCTTTGAAGTCGTGTTCTGTCGTGCACCGGTTGGAAGTAAAAAAATATTATTTTACCTCTTATAGCTTGGTAACGTACCACTTTCCGCTGTTTTGACTCTGCAAGTGACTCAAAGTACGTTTTGAGTAGCGTTTTGAGCTATGTTTACAGCGTGGTTTGGAATTTTTTCATGGTGTTTGATATCTCAAGGGGAGGCGCCCTCCCTGTATATGTAATTTATTGCTACCATGTGCTGCTGGAAGACAAAGGCGGTTGGGGAGGCTCTGATTATTCTTTGGTTTTTTCGGTAAAGTCACGTATAAAGATAAAATAATACATAAAAAAATATATTACTTATTATTTAATTTATTATTTTATCTTTATACGTGACTTTACCGAAAAAACGTATAAAGATAAAATGATAAATTAAATAAATTATTACTTATTATTTAATTTATTTTATTTTTATACGTGACTTTACCGAAAAAAACAAAGAATAATTCCTGCAGTCACGAAAGCTCCAAAATTAAGATTGAGGCTCTGATTCTATGGAATACATATTATCTTGGTCGTGTGTGATTGATATATCTCGCCTTTTTTTCTTCTGAATGTTAACCAAGATTTGTGATCTAACATAGTTGTTACCACAGGTATTCCGAGGGTTTTTATTAACCTTTGATCCCCGTCTGTATCGCCAGGGATCCGTTATATTTAATATCCTGAGGTTGAAGATATAGCTAAGGTTTGACTTAAACTTTCGTGACTGCCGGAATTCATTTTTAGTTTATTTTGGTAAAGTCGCGTAGATAGAAGAATAAAGTGAATAACATTAATATAATATAAATAATAAACCACTAATGTAGATTGTAGCCCGGTTCTTAATCTGAGTGAGTGTGCTGGCTGTCGCAAATGTCGACTTATTCTTATATCCAAGCTTCGAACTTTTATCGTTGTATTAAAATAAACCATAAAAACAGTTGTCTGTTCAATCTCCCTGCTGTTCTCGCTGTTCGGGAGATCCGTGGCCCCTGCTGTTTGTACATGTTTATGGCGGCCTTTGAAGTCGGTATTTCCCCAGAATTTCATTAGCCCCCCCTTTACACGGGTTTTTTTATGATCTCCTCCCTCCAGCTTGACTTTATGTGGCGAGGCAGCTGGGGTGAGGGAAGGGGCTACACACCGATCGATTATTACAACTTTCAAAAAACATATTGGCAGAATTACTCTTAATATACATTTTGGAAAAGAGGGCATATATACAACAAGCAGGATA